CTCGACTGACGAGAACAATTGGAATCGCTCGGCTTTATGTCGGGCGAATGGGGTGATTGAACCCAGGTCTCAGTATTGTTTGTGTCCCAGCACTGCCCTACAATACAGTTACTCGGGGTCTGGCACTATGACGAGCAACGGTGGCCTTCTTGTAGTTGTGTGGTATCATCCATTTGTCGATCTGATTGCCGAGGAACAGGCAATATACACCGACACACGATTTTATTCTCTGTATAGAGCCGCCTGAAAGCCACAGTGTGGGAATCCTTCGCTATGATGATCATCCACTTGCGCCCACGTAACTCCTCATGGTAGAACTCGGGCGGCTTCTCATCTGCATTCATACAAATTGACGATTGTGAGTTTTGGCTCGAGGTCCAAGACCACCCATATTTCATCTAGGGCCGGGGTGCGTTTTCACAGTCGTGAATGACATCTCATGCTGAGAACATTACTGCTAGAGGCATAGAATCGGTACTGCGTTCGTGCTTCTACAAGAAAATTAGGTACCCATGCGCACACCCTCTTGACCATCCTCAGTTTATCGGACATAACTCGGGCAGCAGTTGCAGCTGGGATGTCGGAAAGGTCCAGGCTCTGTGATCAGACATTCAGCTTGACTTCATCCACCCTTTTTTCTTGTGCAGGATGAACATTATGGGACCATCCACGACAATTTTTTCCTTTCTTCCTTCTTCGGGCTCCTGAACCAAACCTTCCACCTTGTATTTCGAGAACACCATTACACACAACTACTGGTCCGGCGCCGGTCGAATTTGAGCAGCGCACTTCCCTCTTATGACGTCTGATTTGAAAATCGGGCGCTGATTTTCACCACTCGGGCTTCTTTTCAATTTCTCGAGAACTTCCTCTGTGGGTAGGTTCGCCAAATTTCACAGATACACAGCTGAAGGTACTAGCCTCCAAATGGTATAGTAGCCCGCTTCCCTATCCCCTTTGCTTTTCTGCCATTCCTCTATATGTCACGGCACTTTTGAATGGGATGACCTAATATTTTCCGTTTACTTTCGCGAAGCGAGCCTGAAAACAATTCCCGCAATCAGGTGTTAGTAGGTGCTCAATCATGAGCCCATAAGTGACTCTTCAGTAGAGAAAGAAGCGAATCCTTGGACGAGTTTGTCGGACGTCGGCAAGCCCAATCAGCAGGATTCGACGTGCATCCATTCCCGGCAACGATATAGGATCACCCTACGATGCTCTATGTACACACGCAACTCCGTTTGTGAGCCGTTGTCTTGAAGAGTGAAATGTATCATGGCTGCAATGGTCGCAATAATCAAGCGTCACTATCTTCTTTATCGAACCGTTCCAAGCGACGGAAGTGAAATATTCTCTGCAAATGCGGACAACGATGTCAAATGCATGAAGATCTCGGACTTCCTCAATCACTTGATCGCGGGAACTGCCTTTGAGAGTAACACAGGTGGTCATTGGTCAGCGCTGTACGCTCGGTGTTCTGCTGCGAATAGGCGCTGTCGGCACGATTGGGCATTTTGCACTTTTCTCAGTTTCTTTGAGTGATCCTTGTTAGGTGACACGTCTGTGGTGAGGAACGGAGCTTTTGCTCTAGCTTTACAGCATTTTGAAGGTCTTAATAGGAGGTATCGACAATGGGTGATGTAAATGAGCAACAAGCAAAGTGCGCAGGGCGAATGTAAAGAAGTGTTCTTCTATGAACCCCGAATCTCAGTCAGTCTGGGTTTCCTTGGAATAAGGTGGTCGCCGAACGTCACCAGATGGAGAAAGTCAAGGTAAAGTTGTTGAGGTTGTTGACAGCGCGGAGAAGTTACAGTCGTTTTCGCTGCAGACGCAAGAGCATGTCAGGACAGTATGGATTTGGCGCGGTATCACTCCGTTCTCCACCAACTTTTAGAGCGGCAGGTGATGGGGTCCGTCAAGCCTAGCCCCCTCTCCTGTCCAGCCCCACCTTCTGCAGTGAAAACGGCCATAATGATGGGTGACATCAGCTGGATGCAGAGCTAGTTATAGGGGCTCTAAGTACATAGTTCTCTAGAATTCTGATATCTATATATACTGCTATTCGAGTGAACTTCAACTTTCGCTTGTGGGAATTCCGAATTGCTGGGGCTCAGCCACATAGGCACGCTCCAGCTCGGATATGGCACTGGTGGGCATATGAGACCAAGTCTTTGGCTGCAACAAATGTTGGATGGTCAACACGCGATGAGAAAATAGGGGAAGTCTCACAATGTTCTGATTGGGAGTGGCCTCATCACATATGACAATAAAACTCCAAGGTAATATTTCCAGAAGGATTATAGTCTTCCAGAAATTCTTGGAAGTAAGCAGTTCTGCCGCCCTACCGCTGTGAAGGCCAAACAACAGACAGTGTGCCGAAGAAACATCCTTGTTGTCACCTCGGCAGTGTAAAAGATGTCTCGCCGTTTGTTGTTTTTCGGTAAAAAAATGTGCGGGTTACTCTTAAAAGAAATGAGCATCTTTCGGTGGGCCGTACCGGTGATGTATTTTGGTTCGAGAGAGCGTGACCTTGCCCATAAAGTAGATGCTCTTCGTGCAGCCTGCCGTTCGGGTGATACTAAGTAGCCCTCTTAAAAAAATGCGGAAAGCATTGCGGAAAATTGGAGCCAAAAAAGCAATGAGGAAATGGGCTGGATAGCTGGTCTGAATCACAGAAGTGCAAGCCATACATCAAGGAATGAACGGCAATTTTAGATTTCTTTCGAGAGGTTCCGCAGAAATAGACGCAAAGTGTTTCGCAGAAGTTATGGAACAACCGATAACATCCATATGCTCATACCGCGCAATATAGCAAATTTCAGAGAGCAGATACCTGGATGTGGAATGCCGACAATTGCTACGAGAATGTGAGGGAGCACAGTGCCTGATTCAGTTAATAACCAATCCTGAGTGTATCAGAGGTAGGCTTCTCTTTTTCTTGCACTTAAGATTATAACAACTAAATTTTGAAATCAGACTTCATAGATCCCATAGGGATATATGTCTTTCTCTCTAAAAAGCTGGGAAGCAAAATCATTGAAAGCAATAATCACGGCTTCGTGTTCGTGCCGCCAGTAACGTCCATCCTATAGATCAGTCGAGTCATCCCATTTATTATCAGCGGGCGTATTGACCCTTCATTAACTCATTCTTTGTTATGCTGTCCCTATTCAGAAAATATAGGAAAAAGGTCCAGGTAGATAATGTTTGTGCTACGATACCTTTATTCCCCAATGCGGGAAAAGTTCTGTCGACTTTCGAAAGCTTTCAATAAAATGAGTGTATAGATGCTGAAAATGCCCTGTGGAATTTTTGTTATCATCGAATTTTCGAATAATTCCTCCGAGTTCGCTTTGTTTCCATTCTATTCTTTTCCTCTGATTATATTGTTATTTAGCTATTGGTTCCTCCCTTCCGTTAAGGGAAGCACAGAGGAGAGGCGGCTTTAGTTTCCGTCCAAGGACACGTGCGAGAAGGGAATCAAATTTCCTTTTTCTTCACAGTGACCAGAAGAAATAGTTTGAATAGAAATAGAGAATTTGTTCCTGATGGTCTCTAACGTTGTATAGTGAGGGATAACTTAGAACACCTCTTGCAGAGCAGCAGATCAACACATCCAAACGAGCGAGTCGATCAAAAATTCGCGAGATTCTACTCAACAGTTATTTGAATCGAATGGGATGACAACAGTACGCAGCTATGCTTTTCTTCTCGTGCCAAAAAACGAACTTCAATGCCTCAAGAGTTGAACAGTCTCCATCCTTATCAGCAACCACAGTCATATACTCTTCATCCTTAGCAGTTCTTTTTCGCGAATGCGATGTTGTTATTTGCATAAATAGTCACCCTTGTGAGCACGTCTCCTGATCTCATTTTTATAAAGAAACCAATTCTTTCATGCGAAGGATAGTGTTGTATAAAGCTTGATGATTTGCTTGCTGATGAAGGTCATTGCTATCACCAAAACTGCGTATTAAAAAGAATTTCACTTGCAGCAGAATACTCATAGTGAGAAACAGTTCCTTTCCTCGATGTAGGAAAGACGCTAGATCTTAAGGTCTAGGAAATGAACTCGTTCCGATATCTAAGGTAAAGAGGTACGGAATAGAAACGTTTATTTATACTGTAGTAAGGAACTAACCAAATAGAAGCTCCCTGAGCACGGTCTGCAGTGAAAAAAGACTGCAAAAAATGCTATAGTAACGAGAGCAGAACAAGGTAGTGAGAGCACGATTAATTGCTCGAAATTGAAACTAGTTTTGACTCCACCTTCTGCCCTCAAAACGTGTAAGAGCCATAATAATGGAAACTGATGAGGAATCAAAACCTCATTTTAGAAAATGCTATGCCTAACACTTAGTTGGCATATAGTGTAAAGGTTAACAAGCATGATGAAAGAATCATAATTTTATAAATAGTGAACGAAACCGGCAGTAAGCATGTAAGAACACTAGGAGGAGTAAAAGTTCTCAAAAACTGCCAGTATAGTGTCATAATTCTGATCCGCGGTCGTCATTATTCTGATCCGCGGTCATGACTGGGTGCCTGAGTTCAGCGATGCCGTTGATTTCTCCGCCACTGTTAACCACCCTGTTGAGCTCCGCCTGAACCTAGTAATCGAGGGGGGGAAGGTCAAATTCATGTGACACACTTGGATATTCTGTCTTCTTCAGGTAATCGACGTTCTCCGATTGCAAGTGAGCAAGAGTTTTTTTATTCCATGTGCTGGCACCCAACTTTGTAGCAGTACGAAGTCTCTAGGACAGTAGAGACGACATGAAGGCAGCATACTCTCCTTGTGCTGTTTGATGTAACAGCAGCGTTAGCTTTTAGTTCAGGGTTCGACAATGTCGGTCTTCCCATTCCGGGAAAGGCTCATAAGATCAACCATCGCTGGTACGTCGGTCTTAGCAACTGCAGAGCACCGCGATGGGGCTTCTTCTTCTTGAGGGCGGTCCACATGCGGATGTTTTTGCGGTCCTCTAGAGGAAGAGGTGCGGTCAACACTCTAGACGCTGCCTTCGCTGGACTTGGAGCAGTGTACCCATACCTAAAAAATGGTGATGAAGCAAGCAGTAAAAAACCAACCTGAGTACTTGATTCTTCGAAATCCGGCGAACGGACGTGAGAAGGATGGGTGCGGTCCACGAGCACCTTCACTGGCGTAGTCCGCCCCTGGAAGATGATATCCTGAACCATAGCGATGTTGTTGAAGCGGCTCGATACTGGACCTTTTACATATCCAGAGTGCTAGTTCCGTAGCTGTCCATGGGTGGCTTGATTCGAGAAATTTCGCAGCTGTCTGAGGTGACGTAAATTCCATAGGCCTTCTTCAGTTCGGCTGCGATTGAGATGGCTTCATATTTTGGTGTACATGAAGGTGATGGACGAGAGCCTGCTCCTGCTTATCGAGGAACATCTTGGGTATCTTCCGCCCTGGTACTCGTATCCACATTTTCTCTGTGGGCCGCGTATTCTTTATTGTGACTTCCGGCGAAGTAACTTTTTCCCCCTGTACAACGTAATTCTCTCATGTACTAATTACCTTAATGAATACACATAATGCGCTTTCGGAACATTGAGAAGAAAATTGTCAAAACTCACTTTTTCAGTCAATTATATCCGTGGACTGCACGCGCAAAGGAGACTAGACAGGTAATACTCTGAATAACTGGATGCAAGTTAGATTAGATAAAGATGAAGATGGAGAAAAGAGCTGAATGAAGAAAACAATCTTTTCAGCAGCAATTCTTTACAGAACCGCCACTACAGCGCCATGGTTTTGTGCATGGTCCTGTTGCGAAACCAAGAGACGCAGACAGATAGATGTGCGATGTGCTAAATGCGTTTGAAACAGCCCACAGACGGTGATCGTCATAATGAGAGGATAGACTTCGAGTAGGAAGGTCTGAATTGGTGAGGTGAATTGTCTTATGAATTAAGCAGCCGGATCAGCCTCACCCGGCTTCCGCCATGTGCTCTTCCTTATGTGTCACTCGGCCACCGTCGCCACGCACTCTTCCCTTAGGCGAAGTAGATTGCGCAAAATGTGCCGAACGGTGACAGTGCATTTTTTAGCTCAAATGAATAAAAAATAGTTGCAAATAGCTTGACATCATTGATCTTCAATTCACATCTGGACCATCTCGCTAACTACTGGCTTTCAACTCTGACATGGTATCAATAATGACTGCAGTTGTGATATCAGAGTGGATTAAAGTTGAATCAGTGCGGAAGATCAGTGTGGCATACAGCGCTTCAGTACCTCCGGGTCAGGCACAGCTGTGGAGTCATGCGTCACTGAAAAGAAGAAGTTCACATGTTTCTGTACATGTCAAAATAAGCATCGCACGGGGAGCCCGCATGTTGTCACCGAAAGGAGTCCCCGAAACTTGAGTTCCCTTCCTTTTTATGGTTCGATTACGACCAATATCTAGATCTCTGAACATGCCATCCAAATAATCTTTTTCAGTGGCAGAAGATTTCGGTTTTCTCGTTTGAGACGCACAATATCCCCCGCTCGACATACATCACTGCATTTATATGGTACACAGATACTCGCTGAATGGTTTTGTTCTGAGGACATCGAAAAAAGTGCACGTATCCTTGTCATCTGGTACGTTGAAAGCACCACCCTCTTAAACACCGACGACCACGTAGCGTCTCTTATCAGCTCCTATCTATTGTTAATTCTTAATACTGAAATCCCCACTCCACCCTCTATATCACCTGGGAACAACGCTTTGCTGACGCTGTGACCTGCGATGTGAATACAGTGCCTTACATTTTTAACGCCTTTTATCGAATCTTATCAGATGCTAACACATCTTTTGACACCCGGTGATGTTCATGTGCCACTACACTATATCATATTTTGGAATCATCACCTTGCTGATGCTGTCACCGGTGTTATGAATATGGGAACCACCCCTTCTAAGGCCTCTCATTGAATCTTATCAATCATTAATCACTTCCTTCTACAGTAATATAGCTTGAAATCAACGCCTGGCTGACGGTGGGGGTTGCGTCATCCCTTCAAAACATGGTGAGCGTCCCTTTTGAGCTCTTATAAGATTTACCTGTAACATTCCTATCACCCACATAGATATCTCCACTGATCACTTTCTTACCCAATGTCTCACTGCTACTGAGACCGCTTATGAATTTCGTGACACACACCACACATGCCACACACGGCTATATACCTATTTCCGCGACATGGCGTGTCAGACGATGGTGGCCTGTAAGGCCTTCTCTTGCTTCTTGTTTGAAGCGCCAGTGAAACCAGTGGTAGAAAGAGTATACGACGATATCATACATATTTCATTCTTGCTTCGAAAAGCTGGTGGAGAAGGGCTAGCCGCGCGAATTATCCTTGAACTACGCCAAAAACCTCCGCACGATACACTAAGCCACTATTTTATTAATAGTGAAAGAAAAACTCATGTTCGTTCTCTACGATTTGATGGAAAGCTATTCGAGCAGACATTTCTTTACAATCTGCGGAGCATAAAATGCAATCAATAGTGTCACTTTTACACGAATGGGTACCTAGGCCGGGATCCCTGCTTAGGCAATCATTCGATGCTTCTTCACTTTTCATCTAACTGAGCCACCCTTAGGCGATGTTATATTCATTTCGCACTTTGAATTATCGATTCCCGACGGAGGAGCAAAAGCACATGGTATCGCTCGCCGCCGTGGCGTGCTCACCCCCTCAAGTACGTTAGCACTGGAGAGTACCGGTGAGTTGTGCTCACTGCAGTCCCTCCGTTGTTGTGTCCAAGTGCTATTTTCATGATTGTTTACCTGTCACCCGTCGCCAACGACACATCTCGAACTTTCTGTAGGATTGTATGAACCTATATCACTATTTGAAACACGTCAAACGCTCCTGAACTCCACAGTTTATTTTTAACCGCCTTTATGATGTGCCCTCTTATACCTACTCCTGCGGGAACCCATCCTCCTTTCCGGAATTATCCTGAATCCATTTATTCAGATTTTTATCTGTTGACTTCCAGTCAATAGAATAATGTTTGTGTTCTTCATTACTCATGTCTTGCGACCAAGCCTCACAACTACCGTACTTGCGCCTGCGCTATAACTGTGTGCTTAAAGAACGCACACACGCACTCAATTAGCGATTACATTTAGTAAATAACCAGCAGAGCAAAAAGGCACGTCAGAATGTGGATCGAGGATGCATAATATCGTTGTGAAGTTTCTGTCCCCTTGTCAGCGTACGACGGCGTAACTTTGCTGAGAATTTGGAGGAACAGGATAGAAGTGTATGTTAACCGCGTATTTGTGTACTTTGCTTATATTCGTCACAAATATTCAGGCAATTGAAAATGAGGCCTGTTGTTTATGAGTTGTTTGGTTCAAAATAAGTGACTTTGGACAAACTGTGGACTCAACGCAGTACTAGGTTGAATTCAAAATTCTGGTTCACAGACTTCATTCGCCACACAGCCTCAATGTCATAGTAGACTTGTTATTTTCGGAAAGTTCTTCAAACGTTTGTGATTTATTTTTCCTGTATATCATTGCGATTAAAACTCATTATCCCTTGACGCGAGTAGTATACCCTAAGAGTTTTCTTCGCTATCTATGTATTAATAACCATGCTTTATTTTGAGTGTCTCGACTTCGGATGACCCAATTGTAATTGAAAAAAGTGTGTCCAAGGTCTTTTGACATGCTTCAAAAATTTGGAAGGGGGTTTATTAAGCAAGTGGAAACGCAATCCCGATCCTTTGGAGAAAGCCCGTGCGCGTGTTCGAAAAACTTCATTCTGGAAGTATCAGTCTTGAGATGACTCGTAGCGGTCGACCTAAGAACACCTGACGACGATTTCTGAGCGTTTGTGGAGCTGACCCTCGCAACAGTTGAGAGTTGCAGAAAAAAAAGAAAAGAAAGAAAAGAAAAAAGAGAAAAGGAAAAAGCAAGAAAAAAGCAAGAAGAAAGAAAAGCTAGGCGTGGAAACTCACTTTTGCGATGTCTGAACCTAGTGAATGTGAAAAAACTCGACAAGTTTTGCCCCACAATAGTGACGGCCAAATTGGCACGTCTGAGTTTTCGCACAACGACCCGTTTCGGACCGATTGTCCTCGATGAAAACGGATATCATATGTTTATAACAGGGACTTCCTTGCAGTGGTTGGATCGACAACCACCATGGCATTTCCAAAGCCGGATCTCACGAAAAAGATTGTGGTCACAGTATCTCTCGTTTCTAGTATATACCTTTTTGTCACCAGCCAAGCCTCAAGCAGGTCCTACTGTAAGAATCACAAATATGCCTATAAGAGTTCGTTCAAGCTCAGCCAGACTTATCAACAAAAGTCGATTCTTTGCATGAAACATCATTACAATTTGTTTTATTTGAAAATAGAGTGACTATTGGAGACAAGACTGTTGACTCAACGCAGTACTAGGTTGAAATGAAAATTCTGGTGCCCCGGAGAATTGCAGCCTTCATGTCGCCCACACAGCCTCAAATTTCAAGTAGGCCTATGTTAGGTTCTCCGGAAAGTTCTCAGCGTTTTGATTTTTTGTACATTCATTGCTGATTAAAAACTCATTCTCCCTTGCGTCTCAGTAGTACATCCTGAAGAGAATTTTTGCGCTATCTGATGGTATAATTGCCGTTTCACCATTGCTTGATTCCCCCCCCTTTTCCCAAGACTTTTTGAAGCATGTCAAAAGAGCAACTTCGGACGATATTTTTCTTCAACTACAAATTGGGTCAATCCGCAGTCGAGACAGCTCGACAAATTAACCAGGTGTGGGGCCCAATAGTGTTGGAGAAAGCACCGTGCGACAATGGTTCGACAAATTTCGTTCTGGAGATTCTTGAAGATGAACCTCGTAGCGGGCCGACCTATGAACCTCGTAGCGGTCGACCTAAAGCAATACCTGACGAGGATTTGAAGGCGTTTGTGGAGGCTGACCCATCCCAAACAGTTCGAGAGATTGCAGAAAAGCTAGGCGTTGGCAATTCACTGTTGCGGATGGTCTGAAACGCATTGGGAAGGTGAAAAAACTCGACAAGTTTTGCCCCACAATAGTGACCGGCAGAAATTGGCACGTCTCGAGGTTTCTTCTTCACCGCTTTTGCGCAACAAACGACCCGTTTTCGGACCGATTGTCACCTTCGATGAAAAGGAGATCATATGTTATAACAGGAGACTTTCCTTGCAGTGGTTGGATGCCGACGAACCACCGAGGCAATTTCCAAAGCCGATCCTCACGAAAAAAAGATTGTGGTCACAGGTGGTCATCGTCTGGTGTGATCCAGTATACCTTTTTGTCACCAGGCCAAGCCATCACAGCAGGTCCTACTGTGAAGAAATCGACGAAATATACCGAAAATTGCGTCAGCGTCAGCTGCAGCCAGCACTTGTCAACAGAAAGGGTCCGATTCTTTTGCATGACAACGCCCGCCCACACGTTTCACAAATCACTATCCTAAATTGAACGAATTGGGGTTGAAGTTCTACCTCACCCGCCATATTCTCCAGACCTTTCACCAACCGACTATCACCTTTTCAAACATTTTCAGAACTTCCTTGCTGGAAAATACTTCATCAGGACCAGGCAAAAAAAGCCTTCGTGGATTTCGTGGATTCTCGACCACCCAGTTTTTCCTTTGATGGGATTTATCGACTGTCACATTGGCAAAAGTGTGCTGATTCGAACGGTGCTTATTTCGATTAAATCCGATGAGTATTAAGAAAGTTATGATCGTTTAAAGTGAAACACCCAAAACGCTGAGAACTTTCCGGACAACCTAATATTAAATTGGCGAGGAAGTTTTGTTATGCTTTTTCGAACTCAAAATACTTACCTATAATCTGAAGAGAGGTAATCAATAATATGAGTAATAATGCACAAGAGGATGCTTTTCCAACTAGTACCACTCACTTGCCTGCCACTTTCTCTTCTTTTGCAAAGTGGATCAAAATGGTATCCGGTACCATCGGCATCGACCCTCGAAGCGCTCCCTCAAATTCTTTCTTCTGCCACTCTGACGCGAGCATCGCAGCTGCGCCGATGCTGATATAAAGGAGTTACAGTTGTTACAGTTAGTTACAGTTACAGTGAAGAAGATGCCTCCAACTATCGGACAATCTTTCAGGACGCTTCAAAGCGAGTCTACAATTCTAATGACGAAATTAGGCTTGAATGCTCATGTGGACTCGGCTACAGAGAGCTGCTGTTCGTGAAACTACTGGATGAAGAAACTACTCTTACGGTTATTCCCTACGCAAAGCAGCTACGAGATCTGAAGCGAATCTTCGTTCAGACGGAAGAAATTCGTGCGCAACACTTCGCCTCCGCATGACACTGCAGCCCACCCCGTCCACAAAAGGGTGGACCGTGGGTGCAATAGGGCTGTATGGATCTCCCTTTGCATCAGTGTAGCCCAGACATTGCTCCTTCAATAGTTGTCTTACGTGCTTATCCGTTATGTGAACGAGGGAACTTTCACGACCCGAGCCCACGTCGAAAGCGAGATGATGTCTAATTTTGCTCTGCGCCGGGCTGCATTGTGAAGCGAGGGCATCGATTAGGTGCTCAAAGACTGACAAGAACCCCACAATAATAATGCTATATTTTATTTTAATTTGTACATCCCCGTAAAAAAAGAGCCCCATTTCAAAAAATATGACGGATCTTCAGCGCCAACCTAATAATAATAATGGGAAAAGAACGTGTGATCAAAATCCAATATTTTTCATCGATGTTGAGTAACTAGAAACAGTAAAAGTTTATTTTCGCAAAAATACCTTAGAAGTAACCTTCATTCTCACAGTTATAGTTCAGCAGCAGTGAGAGCAGAAATCGAGTGAATTTGAGTCATTTCGAAGAGAGCAAACTCGGCCATCCAGTCTAATGGGTCGATTAGTCATGAATAACAAGCTATTTAACACCTTAATTTCTGGAGCAGTCATTGGATAAAACCTAATATTGAGTTCCAGCATCAAGTTGAAAAGATAACACTGTAAGATCATACGGTAATAGCAATAAATAAACGTAAATGGATGTTAAATAAATAGTTATTATATAAGTTCTAGAGAAAATTGAAAAGAATCACAGAAAGAACAATTCGAAGAAAAACCATAAAATAAGGAGTATCAGTGGTTAGGCAGATGTGAGGTGTGAGTAAGGCAGCGTTCAAAATTCGCGACTGCAGCGCCTCGGTTGCGCGATCGATGCGCAAGCTTTCAACTGTATCGATCGTTTCGAACGCGCGACCGAAGCGCTGCCGTCGTGAGGTCTGAACGCTGCTTAATGGTAGACACTCATTCCTTAGGAACTGAATGTCAAAACGTCCAATTTCCCCGACTGCGACAGCATTTTTGGTGAAGCACACGAAAAGTGAAAAATTTACAAATTGTGAAGCACGGCCTAGACACACGAGAACATCACCGAAAACATTGGAAGCTTCCACCATCGGCGTAGGTCATAAAATTTTTCGGTAGAGTCCGTGTACCGAGGGATAAGTACGCGAGAATACATGAACCCGGCAAAAAATTATTGCAGGTAAGGGAAGAGGTCGTTTTGTGAAGTAAAGAACAGAGCTGGGCATGCTACCACAACCAGCTCTCACGCACTGCAGTGAGTGTAGTCACCAAAATCTCTTTTCTCGAACTTTATTCGATTCCCGAAGAGCGGTCGAATGATGAGCTCAGCGGCAACACGCATCTCGTCTGTACGGAGCAACGAACGTACTCGTAAATGCCGCATAAGCAATGCAAGAATGCACTTCTCCTCCATTATGGCGAATCGCTGGCCTGAAATTGTTTTTTTTGAAAGCAGTTGATTTTGTGAAAAAAGTTGATATGGATGACGTAGTCATCCAAACTCCTTGCAGCATCTGGATATTATTGCATTATTATTTGTGTACAATTTCTAGCAAAATGTCTGAAAGAAGCGAACATGGGAGGTTTTGCCGTAAGGTATCAGCGTTGTCGTGTACCGTAAACGTGTTGAAGGCAACTGCACAGTAACCTCCGAGGATCGTTGCCGAAGCTAGGCAGCCACACAAGTATGGCCCCTTCGTCACTGGAAGCGCGCGGAAATGAGACTGAGAGACTGAAGGGTAGTGACACCCGGAAGCCATATCGGACTCCGCCCGAGCTATCCTTAAGGTGTAGCACTCGCGTCGATTCCAAAATTTCGTGGCGACGCACACAGTCAGCGGTGTAGAATAAGCTGAAATGAGAGGGCCTAGATATGCAGCACGTTTGGTTATGGTTAGGCCACTAGCTGGCGACGGAACCTGGACATCACTGCCCTCCAGCCCCTTCTCGTGCCTTTTGAGCGGAGAGGGTGGACACTAATGCAGCTCCCAACCCATTCACCTCTCACATGGCAAGCGCCACGGTCCACAGTGGTGTACAGTTTTTCTATATCACAATGTTCACATGTTGAAGGGATTGTGGGTTTATGTAAATGCGTTGTACTCACTGTCGTAACGGCAGTGTGTGATAATGTATTTTCTGTTAGTTATTCCTGAGATGTATACAGTGTGAACTCACCTATGCAATTCCTGCTACCAGCTGAAAATGGAATGTAAGCATAAGGATGCTTCACTTCTCCATCGATGAATCGTTCAGGACGAAATACTTCTGGATCGTCCCAATACCTCGGGTCACGATGCACCATAGACGGCACCACGACAACACCGGTTCCTGCTGGTAGCACATGTCCCTCTGAAAAATGCAGTGACCTATTTCTGAGTCAGTTTTTCTTTCTAGAAAATAGTCGAAACGTTTGCAACATGCCGCTCAATCATTTAAAGACACTCCCCGCGATCAAGTGGTCCTCAAAATGACTTCGTGCCTTTTGAAACCTTCTACGCCTTTATGAAGATGATACCACTTTCATCCCTCAATAGGGCGCGATAAGGAAGTTAGAGCGATTTCCACAAGGCTCGCTAGGCACGCTGATACGGTAGGTGGACGAGGCATCGGCTCGCGAGCAGCCTTTATCTCTACAACACCCGTGCGGCACGTGTCGCGCGCGGCGCTTCTGGCACTTTGCCATCTTCGGTGATCCGCGCTTTTCATAGCGATTAAGCGCAAACCTCGCACCGTTGGACATAAATTGAAGACGCGTAAGCTGTTTTTTAGCGTTCCATATAGTCCTGCAAGCCGATCTCAATTAGAATAAGTGAACAAGAGAGCAGAAACCGTTTTGAGTTTTTAGACCCTTGCGAAGCGTGGGAAGACGTGATCTTTGAAGAGCAGGCCTAGTTCGGTTTCCTTTTCATGGCAAGAGGAGGATTGGAAATGGAGAGTTTGTGTGTTTTTCGGGCTTGCCTAATGATTCTTTTCAGATGGACTATGCAACTGGTACTACCCCTTCTTCCGACATCAGGGTTTTACCACCGAGCTTTTTAAGAAAAGGCTGAAAATTTGTTCCTAGACCTTCAACATCGCCTACACGGAGATAGCATCGCTTGGGCAGGATGTGCCTGGCACTAACGCCACGGTCCCACGGCTCAAGCTTTACGCTCCAATCGCTATGGAGAGCGCGCCCTTCGCGCTCGACGTACTCGTCCAAGACTGCTGGGGTGAAGTCTGTGTTCAAGGTGTTCCCAGGTTTTTTCCTCTTCTTTTTCTACTGAGAAGCTACCTATGGGATACGGGTTCATGACGGAGCATCAACTACCCGCAACACTTGGTCGGAAATCGGGCATAGTGGAGCGGGAATTGTCTTTAAGGTCAATTCGAACCATATAGCGATATTTAAGTACATTGTTCGATGACCTGTGAGGTAAGATTCACAAAAGAGACTTCACCCGCTCCCATCCTTTCCATCGAGCAATGTACTTACCTTGAGGGGACATAAGCGAGCACGACATCAGTGACATCGAGGTTGGGGGGGGCGATACTTGAATCTGAGAAATTTTTTGGCCAGTTGGTTTTTTCTGTTCGAGGCGCTGCCCACAATCGATTGGGAAATTTCCGGTTGAGGGAGCGTTCGAGTAGAGAGGGAGGCACTCTGAGCGTGCCAGGGTCCTACTTTAACAGCTTCCATACCAGTGGTAGGCGTACCCTGATCCCAAACCTGACAGCCCTCCTCACTCACCAACATTCACATTGGCGTGACGCTTCTCTCACGAAATCGTACTTGGCACATTTCTCGATTAATCTTTTGTACCGTTGTAGGTGCTGGGGTTATGAAACGTAAGTATATATGCTAGATGGCATCAGCAAAAAAATAAGCAGAGTGAACTACCCAAGACGTCTTCAAAAAAGGCCCTTTCTATTCCACGCGAGAGGCGACAGTTCAGTGGGATGCAAGATGTACACGTAGAGCGCGAAAGAGCGCACAAACGAGGGAAAATGGAAAACCTGGGAAGATTTATGCTTATTCAATGAGGGTAAGTAATTGAAGTAGCAGGAGTAAAATTCCGTGTTACGTGAGCTGTCCACCCTGTAGATTATACTTCAGAAGAAGGCTATAGGCTTCAAAAGAACTCACTGATTTTTATATCTTCTACTACTTGTCGACCAAACAGAGGGACCGAAGGGTAGAGGCGTAGCGTTTCCTTTATGCATGCTTCAAGGTACTTCAGGCTTCCCAGATCCTCATAAGTGACTGGTCGATCGACTTCCCCTAGTACCTAAAACATTACAATCAGCTTCTCTCTTCTACCTAGAAAGGCACAAGAATATCGAGACACTTATTACAATCAGTGTGTCACAGATGCAGGAGGAAGCAGCGGACATGAGTGCAGTGCTTGGAACACGAAAACGGTTGTGAAAAAAGGGAGGAAGAATAAAGGATGGGAATGAACGTGGCGCGTCCTCTTGTTCACAGATTTGAAATGCTTAATGGTAGGCCTGTCATCGTAGAAGCGGTGCCCGAAGCTGGTTCCGGTAATTTTTCTCCAACAGCTTCAAGGGGATTCTGAAGCTGATATGGTGGCGTTGAAGCACACATATATGGTAGCGTTGACCATGTGCTGTTACAGGAACACCGCTTTATGCAGCATTCCCCTTGCGTCCCGAAAGTAGGAAAGGAGAACTTCCTGGGGTGCATGCCCGGTTTGGCCTGCTTAGATGGCTCCTCTCCTCGAAGCTCTGTGAACTGTACGAGTGGTACTGCGTGAATTGGAACCATAGAAGACCTCATCTGTCATACCCGCTAACAACTCTCCCAGAAACTCCTTTTGATGAAGGCGGTGAAGAGGAGTATCACACGTAATCTGTCAATAAGGGACCCTTTCAGTTAGTACTTTTCTATAGCCGGGGGCTTGCAGCTATTTGGCGACGGTCAGTTAGGTAACACTAATCTTATAGCAAAGCTGCGGATGATAGTAGCTCTGAGAGGATCCTCTGTGAGAACGGTGAAGTATCCACTTCATGGTGACATCCGGACCAGGGTTTGTCATTAAAGATCGTGTTGTTTTTCGCGAAGGGAGCGAACCAGCGGTGGACAACCCTGATGGTAGTGGTCTTCAGAGCAGTGTTGATGTTGTAGAGAGCAGCCGTCGCTCCAATGCTGCTGCGCCACATATAGAAGTTGATGCCTCAAACCCACTATTGCTAAACTGGCATCATACGTCGAACCCAGGGGAGAAAGCGCCTTTTTATACACTGCTTATCCCTGAGACGGAGTAGGCGTGGCTTTTGAGCATGGCATAGGACGGGTTTCTCGTGGGATACTTCAATTTGAAACAACTGCTATCTTGTTCTGTGTTAGATGTAGACATGATTACGACTGCTCCAAAATGACAATATCTCACGAAAACCTGGGCCGCCGCCATTTTAAAATCAAGCAGCCACGCCTACCCGATCTCAGGGATTTCGAGTATACCTGTTGCGGCGAAGCTCGAGTATGTTTTGCAAGCATAGCTTCTTTCGCCATGTTCGACCATCGAAACTCAACAGCTGTAAGATGTTCAAAAAGCACTGACAAGACCTTCTTTCCAACCTAATATAAGCGTCACAATTAATAGACTTTTAGCGCGTCTCGCATTTAGCCTAGCACAGTGGGGCGCTGGACCGGGTAAGCTACAAATAAGGGCTTCAAACCACTTTCTGGTCTTTGGAAATGACCGCTATGCTCTTAGCGTCGACTATTCAAAACGTTGAAACAAATCTGGTCGGCACAGAACTAGGACAAACATTTTGAGATTGTTTGTCAGGATTTGACTTGAAGGAGAGGGCATGGGCAGCGTACCTCATCGACTTCTCTTTGAACTTTCTCCTGAATGTGGGGATTTGCACCCATGAGATGAAGGAACCAATTGATTGACGCGGATGTTGTGTCATGGCCCTTAATACAATACCTGAGTGTTTTCGAGTTAAAAGAATAACACAGGTGCTGACGTTGTGCACAGGAGTACTTACAACTTTCAAGTCAACTTTCTTAGGAGTAACAGACCTCGAAGGTGAATGTATCGACTTCTTCTTGCACACCATCCATGGGCAATTCTCCCTTCGCATTCATGTCCAACATCAAGTCGAGGAATGCCATGCGTCGACGACCTACAGTATCCAATTTGTTCACACAAATATACCTTTTATCAAATTTCCGCGCTGTTCGTCCTAGCGGAGGGGGGGGCTTCCTCCCGCTCTGCTAGTTTCCACAATATCCTGCGAAAAAACTGTTGAGAAACTGCAAAAGTGAGATTTATTACGTAAGGCTGGCCTAGTTTCACCCGAATTTGAAAGCCTTAATAATAATATGCGAGCCTTGCTGAATATCACTTCAAATTAGGATTTCATGGGAGCCAAATCTTTGTCCGAGCGGTTTTACAGCTCTGAAGTGAAAGAGAGTTGCATTTTTTTTATTAACCGTAGTCGATATTTTGAAATTCATACGGGTTATAACTACAGTACCTTCAGCTGACTCTTGCGCAAGGAGTTTCTCCACACCACCCGCTGCATCAGCTTTTGCCTTTCGAGCTTTTATCACCTGAAAAGAAGTACTGAGTAGCAAGAATTTTCCATCACACTTTCACCAAAACAATCAAAACAGTTACCACAAGAAGGCTGAGTTATGGGCAAAAGCCAGACCTCAGGCGGTACTCGAACTCGCACCTCACCCTCGGCAGGTACGTGCGAGGTGCGGTTCTGGTAGCGCCTGGGCTATTATTTCTTTTGCGAGTTTGCATTCTTGTCTTAATTTCTGGAGGGCAATCTGCGACGTTAAACAGCAGTTGACATGATAAAAATATAATGAGTGAAAACAGTCTCTTCGAATTTTCACGCCCATTTTGGGTGTGGGGATACGGAAGTGGTATAGCTCAAGTGCGCGCTTATCACCCGCGCGGTCCCGGGTTCAAATCCCGGGACGACTCCCTTCCAGGCCAACCAAGCCCTCTACCCATCGGAGGCAGCAAACTGGTGCCAGGTTCTTTGAACAGAATATTCTTGAAAGGGACCGTACCAGCAATTTGGCGCTTGGAACTGGTTAGGCCAATATACAAAAAGGGCGTAAGAGTGACTTCAAGAATTACAGACCTGCTTTCCTTCTTTCGTCACTTAGCAAAGTAATGCAATACAGTGTAATGCTATTCCGGCATGGCATGGCAATATGACATCGATAAAAGAGAATCGGTGGTTGGGGCCTACATAGATTTCTCTAGAGCTTTTGATTCCATACCATTACATCTCTTGTTTTCAAAGTTAAGTCAGTTTGGAATTACAGGGTGCCTCTTGAAATTCATAAAAGAGTTCCTTTCGAATAGACACCAAAGGGAAGTGCACATGTTCTAGAATATACGAAACTGAAAGTGGTGTCCCTCAATGTTCTTGCTTGGCGCCTTTGCTATTCATTATCTACATTAAAGGCAATCCGCGACCGCAGCTCATGGGTAATACGGTTCAAAAATAGAACTGCCGTGTGTTTGTTGACTTATCGAAAAAGCGCCCGGAATAAGACCCTCTTTATTGCAATTGATCATGATCACCGGACGAGCGTAAGGTGGTCAAGATCAATTGTGAATTGCGAAAGGCGGCGATACACTGATAAGAGACGAGAGAGGCCAGAAAACGACGGGCGAGAGAGCGCAATGGCAGTCTCACAACGACACGGTCACTGGAGGCCGGCATGGGCCTATGGGCCTAAAACCTGAGCGCCCTGCGTTTTGCTTGCTGTTTTTCAACTTTTAAAAGCAGCATAGCCTCTGACGTTGCCTGCTTGACCATCGTGCACGGTTATGAGAACCTAGCCTTAGTTTATCGCGGAACGCGCCTTTAATGATTTACCCAAATGTCTTCCTTCTGGCAATCTTCTATGTATGCGGGTGACTTAAGGTTTATTGCTTTGCGGAGGCTACACTGCTACAACGTGCCCTTGACGCCATATCTCTACGGAAGATGGGAGCTTTCTATCTCCTCGGAGAAAACGGTTGCCCTACGAATGGGTCCGCACTCTTGTCCGCTCCCAGGTTTTCAGTTGATGGTGTTGAGCTCAAAGAGCCTGATGCCATTAGAGATTTGGGCATTGCGTACACAAGCTCGTTATCGTTCAATGACTACATTACCAAGATGGTGCACTTGGCACATTGTAAGGCGAACTTCATATTGCGCGCCTTCTCTTCGAGAAGCATCAAAACTCTGTTCCAGCTCTTTGCTACATATGTGCGCCCAACTTTGGAATACTGTCCAATGTTGTGGAGCCCTCACACCCGTGCTATGGTTGAGCGTATTGAAAGTGTTCAGTCCAAATTTACAGAAGCGGATCTTCGCCCGTCAGGGCATTTTCCATATTTCGTACAAAGATAGGCTTGAGTATCTAAAGGAAGACTCCCTGGAAATGAGGAGGAGGCTTTGTGATTATGAGTTTGTTTACAAGCTTTCGGCGGGATTAGTGGACTTAGATTTCGATGTCCTCTTCAAAAGATCTCCAACTATTGGTCGCACCAGGGGCCACCGTTTTAGGATTCTAAGGGAGAAAACCAGATCAGCTGAGTTTCGGAATTCCTTCACTCAGAGGATTGTAAGCCTCTGGAATGACTTACCGTCAGAGGTTGTTAATTCGAGCACCTCCGTTTCTGAACATGAAACACGTAAAGAGGCGCCAAAAATTTATTGCAAAAAACTCAAAAGACTCAAAAGAATCCAAAAGTTGCAAAAAATTTTGAATTGTTACTAATACTTCCTTCGAATATTTCGGTGCCTTAGCACCTTCTTCAGCGATCTGAAATACTATAGTTAATCGCCTGCAACCGAATCCTTCTCCTCATCTTCAGTGGTGCCTCCAAACTGGACTCTGACCTGGTCGTTGCCTCCAATACCGCCTCCGCTGCTCCTCGCAAAAGTTGCGGCTTCTGGTGGTGACTGGTTTCGTTCAGAAACAAGCTCAGAAAAATTACGATTTACCGTGGTTGGTTCTGAGAACAGAAACTAAGCAACTTTCGCGTTAACAAGGCTAAGATGCGATTTATCTTTGCTGGTCTGATTTCTACCTTCGCTCATCAGAGAGTTATGTGATGATGGGTTACATTTTACCGCTTCTTTGCTATCTGATGTTTTTGCTTTTTTATGAATGTTGTGTTCCAGCGAGCCCCAGTTACGAAGTTCAGTCTGCGGCCGTTGGAGTGGTATCAGCAAGGTTGGCGGACCTACTAAGTTGGTATCCGGAGTCCTAAGTTTGCTGCCATGGACTTGCAGTGTTGGCGCCCACTGCCCTTCTGCGCTGATTTTCCTCTCAACTTCGCAGGACTTTTTACTTTCTAATTTATTACCTTACCTAGTGTTTAACTTATTGGAATTATGTTTGTGGTTTTCGCTTATAGCTGAGTTTTCTTCAAACAGTCTGCCGATAATAAATCGTACATCGGCCGACAAGTCATTGTATAGGCCACATCGCATTCAATAAGCCACTGCGATTCTGAATAGAAGTAGAATGCGTGCCGCATCCCACAAAAGGGGATGAACAACGGCGAAGACGCTAACCTTCTCTCCCTATCACGGTGATTGGAGGGTATCTCCGGATTTCGCTTAGTTGTGGGTCTTTGGTAGTGTTACTGGTTTAAGGAAATGAAGAGAAAGTAGCGAAGAAATAGATAGTGTGTTTTTGGGAGAGCACAAATCTCAACGTTGCTGTCACTGATTCGTTAAACGTAGACGACGTTCGTGAAGGCGCCGCTAGGGACAAAGGTTTTTTCGCAATGTGTCCGTTGTTGGCCACCGGTTGCTCATATTGTTCCTGGTAGACCATTTTTGCCACTCTAACAAATTTAGCAAAATGATAGAGCAATCTTGTACGGAGTGCTATTCTTACCACTCTTGACCACAATGGGCACCATCTCAGCCCCGCCTCCGCAACCAAGCCCACTTCCACAGCGATCGTGCTCATTCGATGTTCATACTATGACTTCTGCTTCAGTGGCTTTTTGCCTTCTGTTTTCCGAACATACACAATAAATCACAGACGGACGAACGACTCGGCCCACTTTTCAACAGGTTTTTACTACAATTTCAAAAAAGAAAACAGAAAAGGTTGCTAGAACTAACGGCAATAATCCGTAAAGTAGTGCAAAAGTTATTAGCTAATGTCGTCAAGTTGTTATAGGTCGTAAACAGTCCACAAATCAGCAGCCGCGGCGGCGCTCCGAACTACATATGTAGGACAAGCCCTCTTCAGAAATCCTCCCATGTCCTGTACATGAGCTTCCCAAAAATCAACTCAAGCCCAATTTCAGGTTTTTTTTAAAAGAGCTCATAAAAAATGTTCGACAAACTTGTAGCTCACATTTCCAGTGAATTCGTGCAGAATTTTCACACATCGCGCTTGCTCCTCTTCCGGCACCAATTAGGTTGAAAAGGAATTCTGGGTAGTACTGAGGCTTGACCAATCGTTTTTGAATAATGACTTTCATCCTGAATCATTTACATTTTCGATTAATGAAATAAATGGCAGTAATGGCCAGAGGTTACTTGAACACAGATTCCAAATAGGGAGAGTGAGGATTTTTCTGGACGTCGAGACAGATGCCAAGTGCAGCTTCGCAGATCACATCCAGTGTGCAGAGGGTGACAGTATGAAAGATATCCTCGTATTGACCACCATCAGCGTGCTTCAGGAATTTGCCCAATAACGTTCGGCCGTGTCGGTTGTAGACCTGATGGTAAGTTGCTGGAAGCCTCTACTGGAGAAAGTGAATGGCAGAAACCTCATGAGAGGACAAGGATTACACGCACTCAAGAATAATCTATTTGTGATTAATGTACAACTGATTTTTTTTTCTTACCGTAGACAGATTTCTTTTTCTTACCGTAGACAACTCCCCTGGTAAAAGCGCGTCTCTTCACAATGCCAGCTAAGGATTCTATCGAAATATGCCTCAAGTTTCAAAAAAAAGTCAAGTCCCGAAAGATCACACCTCGACAAAATCTTTGAGGATCTCGTAGTGAAATGTGGGCGTGAGAAGTTTCCGACGTGGACGCCATTTGTCGGGTTTACTGAAATTTGTTTCATTAACCTTTCCACCTTGCAAAGCTGTGAAGACTATTGGATACATTAGGCTGGGTCATGCTTTGCGGCAGCGTCCACTAGCGATTAATAGGTCCACCAGCGTTCCGAGCGTCTGGCAGCTTAAGCGACTAGAAGCATAGATATCGATCTAGCGCCTGCTAGCGTCCACCAGCGGCCAGCAGCGTCTCGAAGGCTAGGGAAGTACATGTAAGTATCGATCTAGCGTCTGCCAGCGTGCACCAGCGTCTACCAGCTTTCGGCAGAGGAGGGTATGGCATAGGAGGGTAGCAGACAGCTGGTGCCCTCCAATTACGCCCATACTCCCTACCAGCAGCCTGCCACCCTCCTATCTTCCCATACTCTAACATTTGTCTGCTATCCTACTATCGCCATATTCTCTTCTCGGATGCTATTGGACGCCAGTGGACTCCAGTGGACGCTGGATCCATGCTTTCGTAGCCGGTGACGCAGCCGGCCTGGACGGTTCGAAATGCTGGTAGACGCCATTCGTCGCTGGCGAACGCTGCCGGTAAGTATTAACGCAAATTTACACTTTACAGTTTTATGAAGGGTTATTCTCAAACAAAAACCAAAACACAGTAGCGCCTACAGTCGTGTTCGCTGGGGATTAGGGGGCGTGCCAAGTATGGTGAGTTTGACTCAGTACTAGCGCGTTTATTCCCTTTGTTTTGCTTTCGGAAAGTGACAAAACTGTGTCATATCGTTCGTATCAGTCGTTTTCCACCAGCTAAGCTTACCCGCTTTGGGAATTGGAGGAGAATGGGGCTGGATGCCTCGTCGACCCCCCCCCCCCCTCGAAGACGGCTTTATTTGATCCCATATGTTCCTCGCATTGACATACATAGCTTGATCTCAAAAATTATAACAGAACTCTCTCTTATACCCTTGTTCTCACCTTTGTCGCTACAATCTGAAAAATCTGTACACTGTAATGATCTAATTTAACCCCTACACTTGCCTGATTAGTAGCCCCTCACCGATCCATGCCGATAGAAAACTGTACTGCATGGTCTTATTCAGCATTTTACTGCTTCCTAGCACTGCTTCGCATTCCTCGGGCCCATATATAAGAACGTACGGCAAGGCTGAACAGATGAAAGTGAAATGCTGAAAAATCAACAGGAATTGATGGAAATGACGACTTACGCCCGAACCACACCCTCGTTATTCGATCTTCGCCTTTTCGCAAGATGTAGGCCAATCCTTGCGCTTGTTCGAAAAATTCTGCAAGAAGAATTACAAACTAGCCATTTTCACCTTTGAGGAGGTGACCATGCCTTGTGTAAGGTTTTCAAATAAAAGGAAGATTCCTCTGCACCTCTGGCGTTCTTTGACACTCCTTATCTGGGACGGAGTAGGCGGGGCATCTGCATATGGCACAGAGTGGTTTTTGTGGGATATTTCAGTTCGAGGCAACTGTCATCTCGTCCCGTGTTGAACAGATTCACGACCACAGCGGCGAAATACCCTCCAGAAGCACAACCACCGCCACGTTTAGACGTACGCAGCCACGCATACCACATCTCAGAAATTTTTAGTCTACCTACTAACACGGCTTTCTCAATTCCCCTCATACGAAAATATTTTCAGTGAGAGGCCGTTGGACTATGGACCCACCCATGGTCGCTTGAGCTCGAAGTGATCCATTTAAACTCACCTTCCGGAGTGAAATGAAATTGATGCAGATTCCGATGAAAGGCAGAGCCACTGGTCCTTGGAAGAGCGAGATTCCGATCATAGATGAACTTGGCCTTTTGCTACAAAGAAATTCGTATCCATTCGTGACTGCAGCCAGGACCAGTGCGACAGCAACCAGCCCCATCTAAAAGAGTTGGTTGACGCAAGACCATAGTCAGGCTACGCTTTCATTTTCATTTTTTCTAATAGAGCAAAAGCATCGAAAAGGAGCAGGGCACGCGGCGCCGCTAAAGCGGTGGAGCTTCCCGAAATGGCGCGGGAATCCGTTAATCTGCTGCGACCCTCTTTCCCATCCTACCTAAATACTATTTTGCTGACTTTCCAAGCCCAAGCTTCCCACCACTTTTGACGCAGTTTCCAAAAAACCTTGCCGTCAAGCGGGGGTGGGAGGGGGATTTTTACCAGGCCACATACAAATGTCCTTCCCTTCAGCGATCAAATACGACCGCCCGCTGGGGAATCCACGACGTAAGACGTGCACCGGGTGGGAGATTCACATTGCGGCGAAAGCGGCGTTTGAGGTAGCGCCAGGTGCCTTCACACCAGGGCCTGATTGAATTGACGTTTAACTGTGACATTAGCTAGGATATCCACCTAGTTCGCGTGCGTCGCCGCAATATGGATCTCCCAACCGACACCCTTATGCATTTTTTGCAAGAAAAACAACTAAGGAGCGGGACGAAAAAAGCGAAAAGTAAACTAAGACTGGCTGAGACTTTTCTCAGGAAAACTCTGGAAGTGATATACTGAAGAAGAGGAAGGGTACAGGAAGTGGTACAGAGAAGCAAAAATCAATATAAACATGGATCCAAGCGCTGAGTAAAAATTCTGCTTATTCACTACCAAAACGAGTCAGTTTTCTTCTCGAGTAGTTTCAAGGTCTCTTCAAGAATAAAAGTGAAATAGACGAGTTTTGCAGAACCTCATCAGCCAAGAGAGATCAGCTTTTGTGGCACGACTCCAGACTGCTAGAAGGCGTAGTAAGCCATTTTTTCATTGAATAACCGAAGGAACCCTTCACTTCATCTCTCAATTTTGTCTTCCTTTGTTTCCTTGTGCAAAACTGTCAATGCTATTGACAAATCTTCATGAAACGTACCGAACACTTGGCGTACATTCGGAGTTTTCTAGATTTTTGGTGCCAGATCTGACCTGAAACGCGGTTCGCGAACGTGGTGCGGTTCAGTGTCCAGTTCAGTTTTCACCTTCCCGGACAAGACTCTGTTGACCGATGCTCACATCGCCGTTCTCTTCTGAGCAAAAAAAAACTGAACACCGACTCCCCCCCCGGGTTTGGTATTTCTGTCCATGCAGAGCGAAAACTGTAATAGCCTCGTCTTCATTCAACGTATGTGAGTCCTTCGACTTTTCTAGTGGCTGCAGGGAATATAAGAGAGCTTCCTCCTTCTCGTCAAGCTGAGCGACTGCAACGCAATCACGATTAGACTTCCGTGATGATAGGAATGTCTTGCGCAATTGGTGGTGCATCTAATAAGGAGACTTTGACGCAGTAAACAGCATCTGTGTGCGAAACCATCAAGTGGCAGTACTGTGTACCTGGGGAGCGAGGGCTATACGAGCTTTAGATAGCTTTCTGGTTGTTTATTTCTCGCTTACGAAGAGTACATCACAGTAGTTTTCGCTACGCGCCAGGGATTGTCGACGAAGCCGGAATGGCGCCGACGTCATGTTTTTCACCAGTTACTTTCTATTGTTTTTTTTGTTGTGACTTCCCTGCCCCAACAAGGCGGAAGAGGGGGGTAACGCCTTGTCTTAACCCTGCCCTTGGAACTCCTTGCGTCCGCAGTTGATGCGCATATTAATAATTCGTTTAGAATACACGACAAACTAATTCTGATAGTTGTTCGCATGTGCGCATCACCCCCCCCCCACATCCCACTTACTCGCTCAAAGGCAACATGAGAAAAGTCTGGTAGGGGGCTGTGTAGATTGTAGAGATGGGGGGGGGGGACACGACATCGCTAAGCATGAGAGGGGACTCATGAATCACATTTTTTGAACGCCTATTGTGGCTGGACATGCTTACACCGGTGAATATTTTTAGTTAGGCTGTTAGAAGTCAACAGAATAACGCCTTCTGATTATCGAAAGTGGTTCGAGTACGTCGCTTTGTAAACGTTCGAAGTGAGCTGCGCAGGGTGGTGAGTGCGCCATACTGCTTCGTTCGCTTTCAACAACATACAGTTTAAAAAATTCTGCACGTTGTTACTTGTTAAGGTGTTTTCCGACTGCCAGTTGAGAAAGGCATCACTAATTTGCAATTATAAAAAAAAAAGAGAAAAAGTAGGGAGGCTTCAAAACTGGTAAGATTACAAACAAATGCAAAAGTCCACTCTTCCTATAAGTTATTGTTCTATATTTCCGACATGTCAAAAGCCGAAACTGACGATACTACTCGCAGAATATAAAATCTACCAGTTTCGAGTCACTGGCATCACTTACTCTATACTTACTCACTTACTTGGCCAGAGATAAGGATGTGGTTCAGAAATACGTTGGCGAAGCTATTGCTTTATAAACGGATGGATGAACATGTGCGAGCGTTGCGGAACCCTTCTTCTTTTCCAACAAATGGATTTTCACGCTGGCTCGCATCTTGTTACCTGAACAAGGAGCCGCCCTCTCTAATAGCCCGCCCCTTCCGAAAAAAAGGAAAGGGGGCGTTGGCGAAGGGCTTGGCTATCGACACGTCTATTTTCCCCCCCGAAATACAAAAAAACAGGGATGAGTTCGTGGGAGCAATGAGTCCAATACCTTAGCGGTAGTGATAGGAAAGTCATTTGAGATGTCACGCAGGTCACATTTCTGGTGAGTTCCACTTACATAGGCAGTGCTGTTGGGGTAAGCGTCCGTCTATTACGTTGTGCTATAGTAGTAGTTGCATACATTCCATTGCAGAATATCACAACATTGGTGTTGACTCAAACACAGCGATTAGTCTTACTTCATAGCACACCCTTATTAATTGTTGAGATGCGTATCTTGACTCATTGTCATATTGTCTGATGAAGCGTTAAAACAGCGAAAGCTCCACAAATAAAAATAGTTACAGTTATGAATCGAGTCCTCAACACAAAAGAGAAAATGATCAGTAAATGAAGCTGAGGGGTAGTTCTAAAATAGTTTGATAATATAATATTCCCAAAAGCTAGCCTTACTCATGTGGTTTCCCCAACACCCATCAAAAGCTGAATGGAGCGAAAAACTGCTCCACTTAGCTTTCCATGGATTTTCTTTCTGAACGTACTTTCTCTCTAAAGGCGCGCCAGTTCACTCTCTGGGAGAGCTTTTCCCAGTAGCACTAGAACGCACTCAGTACAGCCGCATACACTATGTGTGGTAATGAGCAGGGAAGGCGATCGAGAAGAGAGAAGGCAGTTGAATCAAGGAGTTATCCAAACAAGCTAAAGCTAGTCAAGTGAGAAAAGGATTCTGAGTGGACGTCCAAAAACTAAGATGAACCTGATAGGAGAAGAATTGCGACACTTAATGAGACAATGAACAATCTAGCCATTCCCCTTGACACAAAACCAAGATTACAATGGGAGATTCCTTCGCGAGATTGGACAAAACCCACGTGTGAACTTCGATAAAGCGTTCTTTCCAAAGAAATTTGTCTTCAAAATAGTCTTTGATGGAGGTATTAGGAAAAAAAAACTCGAAACACAGAACAAAATTTTAGTATAGAATATACAACACTTGATATTGTATTACAGTTTTGATAGCAGTGATTCATATAATGTTGGAAAACAGTCCTGCAACACATTGGACAAACTGTTCTAGGAAAAAAATCAGATTAAATGTTAAATGTGTTCATCCTTTGGCTACGCGCTGAATCCAGCGCTACACGACTGAGCAGTGACAGCCTGCAGGGGACTAAGGCAAATGTAAGAAGTGGTCGTAGCATTTTTCGTCCCACAGGATAGCCTTACTAGGGCGTCCTCTTACTAGGGAGGTCGTTCAGGACGTGGAGCGCTTTTTGAAAACGGTTTTTTGCATGATGTGGGGTCACGTGCATGGAGTGTTCATTTTTCCTGAACGCCTCTGGGAATGCCAAAAATGGAGTGAAAAAGAAGTCCATGGAAACCGACTGTTTTTGAGCCTGAATGGGCTCTAAATCACTCGCAACTTCGGCCAGTTGCTGCCTATAGGGTCCTTATAAAGGTACTGGTATCGATGAGAAAAGTAGTCGCCAATGGGGTCCTACTTGTGGCACGTAGTTAAGAGTCGACGTAAGAGAAGAGTGGAGAGCGCCGTCCCACCGATAGCATGCGCACTTTGGGTTCCTTTATGTCAGTATGGGC